TATTACTTAACATATTAAAATTAATTTATAAACTAATATTTTTAAATATTATAATTAATTATTTATAAAAATAATATTATTATTATATAGTCCTAACACTTTTCCTCTGTTGCCATAACCACTCGCAAAGATAACCATGCTTGTTGGCCCGATGGTAAGAGCACTTGGCATTTGATGGGTTGGGCATTCGAATCTTGATGGCGTGAATTTTTCCCCTTTATACTATTTAACATATAATAAATATATACTTTACGCAAGGGTGGTCATTTGAAACCACGTAGCCCAAGTGGCAAATTACTTAAAATGGAATTAAGAGCTACAATGTTCAATTGGAGCTATTTTTCTGTATTTAATCATTAAGAATAGGGTAATGATACATTTATCCTCTTTTGTTAACACACTGTTACACACTAATTCACTCTCCTGTTATTTCCGTTAACTCCCAAGGTATCTAGCCCAACTATTTCTTTCTGTCTCCTTTCCTTTCTCCTTCCTGCTATTCACGGTCCTCACTAGATCCATCTTCCTCCTCACCTCCATCAAAAAACCTTGTGGGTTTGTTGGATTCTCAAGATATGATCGGATAAGAAGTTATAACGAATTGAGGTTCCGCTCTAAGAGGGAGTTTTAGTGAGCAACTCGCTTTGTGGAGGTGCATCCTTTGGTGGATCGAGGAGTCCCTCAAAGATCTTGGACCTTGCTTCCCAGAGAGCAGTGGTCACCGGAGAATGGTACATTCCGGGCCACAGACTTATTGGCTTCCGGGTGGAAGCTGAATTGGGGTCCTTGACCGGCGGAGATTGGTCAAAGGGAGAAGAAAATGTGGAAACCATAGGGATGGTTTGAGGAGACGAGGAATTCAAATCCATTCAAGTAGCTTCTGGAAATGGCTCAATGAAATTGAGAATCTTTGGGGTTAATTTGATGGGCAAGGACGATTCTTTTGCTACCTTGTAGATGAGGGTAACAGGCATGACATCTATAAACTACTTTTCCATTTCCCCTTTTCCTTCCAGAAATTCTGGAGCCACAGCTTTGTTTAGGTATACCTGTCCATAAATGCACGAACACCTCACCTATTGGGTTCCTTTGTAGATCTGGTGTTGGGGAACCCATAAGGTTGTCCAAGAACCCATTGGCTTCCTGAGAATCCGGCGAACCCAAATCGAGTTTCTACGGCCCACGAAAGTTCCATTTGTTTTCTCTCTATCTAAAAACTCTCAAAAATTCCAACATTTGAAACCCAACTCTATGTCTAAAAGAGAAAAAATGTCAATCGGAACAGCAAGAGGGAGAAAGGAAAGTAGAGAGAGTAAGAAAGGGTTGAGCTGGAGGTGTTTGGAGTTAATGAATTAAGTAACAGACTTAATGAAAGTAATGGAGAAAGTAATGGAGAGTGAATGAGTGTGTAACAGAGTGTTAAAAGGAAGAGGCTAAATGTATCATTACTCTTAAGAATAATAGTGGTGTCAACTGTCAAGCATTTGAGTAATGAAAGAATCTTGTAGATATGTATATATATATATATATATATATATTTGATAAATCTAATGATAAACCATATAAAAAGTGAAGGGTGTGGTTATAACCACTAATACATTTGTTAAGTCCACTAAAATTTTAATAAAAATATATTAATTTAATTTTATTAATTGTTAAAAACAACTAATAATTAATAATACAATTGATATTTATTATTTAATAAATTAAAATTAATTTATAAACTGATATTTTAGATATCATAATTATCTATTTTAAAAAATTACAAATATCAATCAAATGAAATACAATTTAAAGAACCCTTAAAAAATGTATGGGTGGCCATAACCACACCGAAAATGAATTACTCTCTAGTTTTTCCCCAATCTCTCCTTACTCAATTCACATTTTGAAACTATAAAAAAATGGAGTCATAAGCTCTTAACTGCCATGGAGACAAGAATCCTGTATATGTGGAAACCATAATAGAGTTTGATCCAAAAATAGGGCAAAAGAAAATATTGTTTTCTTGTATTTATTGTATACACAAAAGGACCTATATATAGGTTTGTATAATTCAATGTTCTTAGGTACAAAATCAATTAGTTTAATTATATACAATCAATTAAAGCATGAACATACTAATATAATGTAAACACCAATATTCTAACACACCCTTGGCAAACTCAAAGTAGTGGTGAAAAAACTAACTTGAGTTTGGAAAGAAGAGTGTTGAAGTGTCTAGGAAAGTGAGTCTTGGGAATAGATCTATAGGTTGATCAATAGAACCAATAAAAATCAAACAAATAGTTTCCTTTACCACATTATAGCAAATAAAGTGACAATATACCTCAATATGTTTTGTATGTTTATGGAATACATTATTGTTTGCAATCTATATAGCACTTTAGTTGTCACAATATAGATTCGTAGAAGAAGATTGAGGGCCACCCATATCCTCAAGAAGCCATTGTAGTAAAAGAAGTTTTGATGTGGTGTCACCTAAAGCTCTATACTTCGCTTCAGAACTAAAGTAAGATGCAACCGTGTATTTCTGACTACACCATGTGATGAAAGGGTTACTGAGAAAAAGACAGTAACAATAGTAGATCTACAATTAATAAAATCACCAGCCAAATCAATGTCAAAGTAAGCACAAAGCATAAGCGAGGAGTGAGCAAAAAAAATGAAACCCATGAAACAGTGTTCCCTTAACATAGCAAAGAATATGAAGTACAACTACATAATGGGTAGAGCTTGGAGTGATTATAAGCTAACTAACAATGTGAACAGTATGTACTATATCAGGGCATGTCATGGTAGCATAAACCAAATTATTAACCAATGGTCAATAGCAAGTAGGATCAGGAAGTGGAGAGCCATCCATAGGTGCAGTTTAGCGTTAGGTTCAAGAGGTGTACAAACACTCTTGCTATCAATGAGCCCAAAGTTAGAAATAAGATCGGATGCGTACTTACTTGAGAAAAAGGGTAGCGATCATCTAAAGAGGTAACTTCAAATCCTAGAATATAGCTCAGATAACTAAGATCTTTCATCTCGAATTTTTGGCTAAGATCATTTAAGTTCATCAATACCTGAGATATCATCTTCAGTAATGATCATGATATCAACATAAAGAAGCAAAAAAGCCATACCCTAGGTAGTCTTACAAATGAGCAAAGTTGTATTGTGTGGGTTGGAAGTAAAGCCAAACTCACTCATAGTAGCACTAAACTTTGCATACTAGGCTCAAAGAGATTGCTTCAAACTGTATAATGCACGTCTTGATTAGCATACCTTGTTTGGTGGATGATTGAGTCTAGGAGGTGGTTTCATATAAACTTTCTTTGCTAGATCACCATTAAAGAATGCATTTTTGACATCCATTCGGAACAATTTCCATTTTCGTATAGCAATAATAGCAAACAAGCTACACACAATTATGAGGCAAGCAATTAGTGCAAATGTTTCCTCATAGTCAATTCCATACTCTTGTGTAAAACTCTTGGCAACCAAGCATGCCTTCTAACATTCCATTAAACCATCATATTGAGTTTTAATTTTGTACACCCACTTACAACCAACCAGAGTCTTATTGGCAAGAAGATTAGCCAAGTCCCAAGTACCTGTCTTTTCCAAAGCCTATAATTCATTTTGCATGGCTTGCTGTCAAAGAGGATCTGACAAGGCCTCTTTAAAGGACTAAGGTTCATTAAAGGCAAGAAAAGTAGAAAAGCAATGATAATCTTGAATATAGGTAGGTGGATTTCTTACCCAAGTAGGACATGGAGAGGAAGATGCATTAGGTGTGATCTCAACAGTTTCCTATGCAGTGTCAAGAGAAGGACCTCATCTAGAACAAGGTTCATAGTAATTTGTTCAATGGACTACTTGTCAATAATCCCTGCATCATCACTAAGAAATAGCTCAAGAGAGGAATTAGTGAATAAAGGAGTTTGATGTGAGGAGGACAATTTGAATTTAGAGAGAGAGAGGAGAACATTTGGTTAAGTATAATCAGTAATTCTAAGCCCTTTTCTATTTCAATTAACAATGTTCTTATCCAATATTATATTCATTCCCTTCGTGTAACATAAAACTGTAGGAGTAAAAGTTGCGAGAATAACATTGAAAACTATTTTCATGATGTTGCATGCTTTGCCTAACGCATAAAGTTTTCCTATCATTGTAATTTTTTTATAAATTCTTATTATCTGACAACAAACACCAATTGGGCAATCAAAATCATCCACATTCGCCCAACTCCCAATCTCCTCACTCAACCCTGCCGCCTCAAAATCATCCTCAATCACCTAATCTAGGTCTGACTTAGCAGATTCTGCTCACGTTTATCTTCTTCCATGGCAGTACCCAAAAACGACATCAATTTCAGTAATGGCAAAAGTTAGATCACGAAACTTTCTCACAAATATGAGTTCTTCCATCTTTAAGCAAAGGTATAAACA